ATTTAACGCCTTTAGATTATTTCTTGTGGGGTCATGTTAAGGCTAATATCTACAGCAACAATTGACGTTCTGAAAGCCCATATTGAAGCATTTATATGTGAAATACCGGTCGATGTGTTAGAGAGAGAGAGTGTGCTAACATTGGACCTTGAGCATGGGCCATCTAAAGCGGAGCCGCGGACAACATTTGCATGAAGTCATTTTCAAACATTGAATTATATTGATCGTTCTATCGATTTCAATAAAGATATCATCAATTTTTTCAAATTTTTTGTGTTGTTTCGAAAATCAAATCCTATATGTCTTAAAAAATCACCCGTTATAATATAGTAATTAGCTGAATGAAGGCGGAAATCAAAATTTGGAGAAAATCAACAGCATCAATGTTTTCAATACATTACTATACTGTAGAATAAATATTCATTGAGATAAGGAGCTACAAAAAAACATGACTTTGAAACGGATCACCCTTAGAATTTGAATAGGAAAATTGCCAAGTGTGAAAATATTCATTGAGATAAGATACTGAAACGGAAAAAACTTTCACGTAATATAAAATGGAATATTTATAGAAATGACAAACTTCTATTGGATTCCACTATCACTATTTCGTTTTCATCATGGAGTACAAATTTTGATTTTAATTTGAAAATTGTACCTTTTGATCCCAAAATTTTTACTTTAAACTCAAAATAACGACTTCAAACTCGAAATTTTGACTTCAGTCTACAAATTTTGTTGTTGTTGTACTTGTTCGGGTGAAAATCCGATAATGAAGTGGTTTTGAATGGAGAAAAATAAATTGTGAGGTAGGGGATACAAGTTTGTCAACAGAAAACAAAAATTAATAATGAGGGAGAAAAAATATAATTCAAATTCAACTCAACCCTTAATTTCAACACAGAAACACTCAGAAATAACTTGAAATCGATATCTTACTTGGCATGTAAAAATTCACACAGCCGCAAAACTCCAACGTATAGTTTGTAAGGCATTCCAGTCTGCAGTTATCTGGTGTATAAATATTAAAGTACTTCAAAGACCTCTCATCGGCAAAATAGCATTGTCGAATCGAAGGACGGTAATTCTCCACTTCTCTCGATGTGCTCATCATTTTGGGTTGAACTATGACCTGAACTGAGGTATCCAGAGGTACTAGATTGAAATGTTTCTTCAACTGCGGTACAGTGTGCGGGGTATGAAGTACAACCTANTCTAAATTTGACTTTCAGTTTGTTACACTCAATGACATTTTGTTATTGTATATAGGTTAAATATAGCTCTTATTAGACTCAATCAACTCACCTATACTGATTTATTTCTTCAGGCTTCTATTCAAATGATACATCGACTAATTCCAAGACGATTTTATGAGATTGTTCGAAAAGTTTTGTCCGTTTCAACGTTTCATATCTCAATAAATATTTATTCTGATGTGTCATGGTATAGATTGAACGATACAGATTTTTTTTTTAAATTTCAATTTTTCGCCTTTTTTCAGCTCATCACTATATATTATATGATCCATTCTACAACCGATAACAATAGGTCTTTTCATCACAAAATTTTTGTGCGCATGCGTTAGTATCAGCCATCTTTTTCGTACTGTTTTTTGTAAACAACTATGTCAAAGAGCCCGCAACTCATGTTTTAAAAATTATAATATAAATTGAAGTTTATTAATTGTAAAAAAAGTGAAAAAAAATTAAGTAGTACGTCAAAATAATCAGAAAAAATTTTTATACTCCATTGAAATTATGTTATCTGAAATTATATGTAAATTATGGAGATCACCATAACGGTGTTGTTATGAAGAATGTAAAAGTGATACACGATATTAATCATTCAATACCAACACATACTATTTTATAAATTTTCTAAAGCCTTATCTTGAATATCGCAAAAACATAATCGAATCATCATGCAAATAACATACTGAAGCATGTGCAAAATGTGAATTATAGGTGAAAAAATGTAGCAGGAGTGGCCGAGGCTTTAAATCTATTGATGATGGATACTTATATTTGCTCACTACATTTCATTGGAGAAAGTGGTCCAACTGAACAAAACTTTGATCCTTCAAGCTATCAGGAATTCCAACATACGTACATTAAATAAAAACAACAATAAAAATTAATTGGCTCTCCGGGGCGACTTCATTGATTCCAGTGGCGCATTTGCTTTTTCAGCTGCAGAAAAACCCGAAAAACCTGCAGCACCACATCATCTGAAGATTTTGATCTAACAATGTCCTCTCTCTTACAAAAATGTAGAGTGTCTCCAGAGGCTCCAATAAATTCAATGCATCGCCAGAACACTTCGTGACATGACTATCGTCAAACTTAAACCAGTCCGTTTCGTCTTTGACCTATTATTATTAAAGATGAATATTAGTTTTTGTCGAAAAATTCAACAATTTCTATTCTGTCCCCTTTCAGAGTATTCTCTTCGGATATAGGTTAGGTTAGGACCAAAGTGAGTGGGTCTATTCGACTCTCCACCGCAACCCGCAAAGGTTTATCGTGGCTCACACCTATTCACACTCGACTAAATAAACCCACCTTCTTCACGAAGCTGATTAGTTTGTATGGTGAGTGGTCTTTCAGGTAAGATGTAAGAGTACGGATCTGCTGAACTCTAAAAACCTGATTCGGTTCTCAGCGGGACAGGCACAAAGTACGTGCTCTGTTGTTTCATAATTTTCCAAAGAGAGGCACACTGTCTTCCGAAAGTCCGAGTCTCTGCATATGATGGTTCAAACGATAGTGACCTGTAAGAAGGCCAGTTGGACATCGTAGTTCATTCCTACTGTAGTCCAACACCTGTTTGGTATCAAGCTTCGAAGGGTGAATAAACACCTGCATCAGAACCGGAAGGTGTTTTTGATCCATCTGTGAACCAACAGCTATCTGCGCTTGATATCTCCTTCTCCTGGAGGATTCAGTCCTCCCTCAGATATAAAACAGCGTTTTTCAAATCTTCGAAGCCGTTATGATATGTTTTTGGTATGTCCTCCAGCTCTCTCAGCGATTAGGTTTTTGTCTCCTCAATCGTCCCAAAACGCCGTTATTTTATGGGTCTCTACAATATTTGGAACACGAAAAAGTCGCAGAGGACTAAACCTGGTCAATATGGTGGCTGAGGTGCATAACTTCGATATAATACTCCTTATTGGTCGTACAACCATGTGGAAAGAACTCTTGATGCACTACTTTACGGTAATTGAAGAAAACAGTGTGCAAAACCTTAACAATTGATCGAACTTTGCGTGCTTTTTTTGCTCTAGGCTTTCCTGGGCTCTTCGATTAGGGCTATGGTACCTATATACCCATGATTCGTCATCAGTTATGGCCCTTTCAAGTAAATCTGGATTGCCATTGACGTCATTTGATAATTTTTGACCGATGCTTATGCGACGTTTTTTTTTTTTTGGTCAAAATTCAGCAATTTTGAAGCGAACTTCGCTGCTACACGGTTCATGCCCGGAGTGTACAAAAAAATTGCATGGTATGAGCCATGCCGGCATTCTCAGCAAATTTTTTTCTTCACTTTCTCAACATTCTCATCGGTTGTTGATGTGCTGGAGCGTCCAGGGCGAGCGTCGTCATTCACAACTTCTTGATCTTCTGTGAAAAGCTTATACCACTTGTGAACGTTTTTCTGACTTTGAATCTTTCACCACATCGTGACGACTATTTGATCTATAGTTATTTGGAAGATTTTTCTTGCCCTTTTTGGGAATAGACTAAACGCGACCTATCTTCCAACAAGAAGGAGAAACCCCTTTCTTGTAAGACAGGTTGAAAAATCTGCAAAATTCTGATGCGAACTCATTTGCGTACTTTTCAAGTACGATGACGGGCACTTCATCAGGGCCAGACGCTTTGTTGATATTTACTTGTTTCAAAATTCGCCTGATTAGACGGTGTCAAAAAAAATGGATCAAAGAATTCGCATCTTTGTGTGAAAAATGGGATCGACTTCGCAGTCATAATTAGATATCACTCACAGGATTGCTATACAATATAGTAATTGAATAGGTGAAATTCCATTTACATGGAACACTGTCATCCTCACTGGTTGACATCTGATGTTTCGGCTTAGGACACGTAATATCGCCTTTTCAGCACCAAATCTGAATAACAAGGTAACATTCCGGCCATAGGCTGAGATTTTATCAAATGAGCCACTGAATGATTTTTCGTACTGTCATCAACGACATGAGTAGATTAAACTCATTCGTGACATAAAGTCGTACTTTAATGAATCAATCATCATCCAGATCTGGTGCTGAAGAGGAAATAAGGTAAGTGCCTTGTGTCGAAACATCTAATGTCCACCAGTGAAGATGACGGTGTTCCATTTTGCAAAAGTATCTATCTTTCGTGTAATTCAATGTTTATATGAAAGTAGCTGTTTCGAGCGTTTTCTTTTCAGTTTTTCTCTGAGAGTTACTTTTTCAGATGATCTACGCATCTTTGTATAGAATTATTTTTTCAATTGGTTGCTTCTTTCCTTTCTGACTATTACTGGAGTTTTTTCTCAACACCAAATCGTTATTGTTAACACCTCGACACGTGTTTCAATCACCAAGTGATCATCTTCAAAGAGGAAGATTAAAACTTAATCACTTAATTATCACTTGGTGATCTAAACACGTGTCGAGGTGTTGAAAATAACAATTTGGTGTTGGGAAAAAACTTCAGTAATATTCATTACTACTGCATCATAAGTCTTTCCTTTCTGTTGAAGATTCCCATTTTTTTTATAGAGATAAAGAAGCAGAAAGCTTCATCAGGGCGCAACATGCCATAATTTGAAGTAATTTATCAGGTCTATTTCAAGAAAAAAATCATCAAATATTCTGATGGTCTAATATTCTGAACAATGTTATTTGCACTGAATTCTGTGAATTATCAACACCCAACAGTTTTATTCCTTTCCATTCCAGTTAATCGGAGGCAGATACCAACATGGTGAAGTGAAAAATGAAATCCTTCTTTCGACAAAAGCATTTATTTCCACATAAATAATTTACATTCCTGCGAAGTCATCATAAAGCCTTTTGTTACAGTACCATCGTACACACAGGTAGTAAATGATTTCCACTGCTGATAGTACGGAAAATCCGGTGAAAAGTCCAAGAAGTCCTCCGAAATTTGCTAGAAAGTCAAACGGGCCGTATAGTTCTGTTCGTTTGTATTTCAGGAATTGATCTCTCATGAAGTACACTGATAACCTCGACAAGTGACTGAAAAGAAGTTTCTTTTCAGCTTTAATTTTCTTTTTTGAGCTTCAAATAAATACATTCCGAAGGGCATCACCATAACCAGAGATTGAGTGATGTTTTTATGACAATGGTTCGTTTTAATTTTTTCAGCATTGTTTGATTTTGACTGCTTGAGTATGTCATAATGATAGTACTTATCAGGATGGCGATTTTCCAGTAGAGAAATAAAAAAAAAACGAATAGAAAACTGTCGAAAAATTTTTGCCAATATTCTAACACATTTGGAAAGGCAACAAAATGATTTCAAACATCAACTTATTGAACAGTTCAAGTTTATATGCCGTGTTGCTTAACGGAATTGAAATAACCCACTTTTTGAGCATTCAAATATCAATATTAGTATTTGATGAATTGTTTTTGTTTATGATCTGCAAGATATCAATTTTTGATTATCATTATGAGGTTCTCGAATTTTTTCGCCAACAATTATGTATGCTGAAAAAATTTCAAAAATGTATCTAATCTGTATCCAAAAGTTTTTCAATTTTTAGAAAAAATCAAACATTTTAAATGAAATCTGATGTTTGTTTGAAAGTGATTGACAATGTTTCATGATGAATTTCACTAGATCGGACTTCCAATGTCTGATATTATATGAAATGATTTTAAATCCCTGAAAAAACTAATGAAAGAATAAATAAAAAAGAATAGCTGAAAATAACAATTACATTGAGCAGAAAACCTGAAATGAAATAACAGTGAAACAAAATACAAGTCAAACTAGAATAATTGAACAAAAATCAAAAATGAAAATAAAAAGTTGAGAGATTCCAAGCCAAGATACTTCACAACGTTTCGATTGTTAGTATCAAGAGATAACTATTTATGGGTGATTCCAGTACTCCCACTTATCTTCGTTTTCCTTTTGCCGCTTAAACGGTTTAGTGGGAGATGACCGTTTGGCGGGAGTATGCCATTTTTCGCTTGATTATGGGTTTCCATATGTTACGTATCTCCACACAAGCTTGGCTTTCCCTCACTCTGCGTGTTTCTTGTGATCGGCAATGCGAACATTCAATGTCCTCTAAATTTCATCGATATAGGATTTTCCGCACTCTCAAGGTATCCGGTAAATGCAATTCTTGGAATCGCAGTCCGCCTTTGGTGGCCTGGTTTTCGTGAGGCTGCTACCGATAGTGTTTCCGGATCCGAAGCAGATTCTGATGTTGTACTTGGACCCAATTCTTCTCATCCTTTCCGATAATCCTCTGTAGAGAAGTACAAGCACTGGTTGTGACGGCTCCTCTTCCTTGCGAAGCTCTGTCTGTTCAACCATCGATTTGGAGTAGCCATTCAATAGATGATGATTTTTATGATGTCTAGTTCCTTCTCGAGACCTTCATTCGTGTTACAGAGCACTAAAGCACGGTCTAATAGAGTCTTGATGATTCCTTTTTTAGTCGATTGATGGTGGTTGGATTCGTGGTTCAGATACTGTCCCGTGTGAGTAGGTTCTCGGTATATAGATGTTTCCCACTTAGTGTCGGTCCTCTTCACCAATACGTCTAAGATTCGTTATGGACTTCCTTCTCCATTGTGGAAGTGATGGAAAGTCTTACGCTGCTGATGTGTTTCAGGAAGGCGTCTAGTTCAGTATTCCCATGTTTCCATATTATGAAGGTGTAGTCAATGTATCTCAACCACACACAAGGTTTCTTATAGGCGTCTTCAATGGTCAGAGTTTCAAACCACTCCATATATATGTTGACTATAACTGGTAAAAGTGGCGATACCATTAGCGGTCCCTCATCTCATGTAAAGAATTCGTCCTTCAGTTGGGAATAACAGTTCCGTACACATACCCTAGTAGCCGAATCTCTGGAGCTGATGATCGGGCTTAGCGGAACGTCTTTCTAGTGGATTTTGGGTAGTCCATACAAGTGAGGTGCGGTGTTAGCGATGATCTCTCCTTTTCATAAAAGAAGACTTGGTGTTTTTTCAAAATCTGGTACAACTTCCTTCCAATAGATGCAGTAGGGTCCCGTACGATCTTCGTGTATTGTTCCTTCTGAAGAACCTCTTCGATCTTCTCTGTTTGTCGAGAACAGTATCCATCACCACAGTAGCGTTTCCTTCATCTGCAGATGGTATCCTGATGGTGTTGTCTCTGTGTAGGTCGTTCAGAGCTCTACGTTCTTAATTGCTGATATTAGATGTTGGAACTGGTTCTCGATCCAGCTGTTCTCTGATTTTCCATCTGAATTCTCTGTCTGGTCAATAAGGGAGCTGGTGGATTCCACTACAGTAATTATCTTCAAAGTAGAGACAGATGTTGGCGCAATGGCGATGTTCAGGCCTTTCCTCAACAAGAATTCCTCTATTCCCGTTAGTGAGCGGGAACTCATGTTGATGACATTGGCGGCTTCCAAGTTGTCCTGTTTTCGGTCTACATTTGGGCATTGTTTCCTCACTAACTTTCCCCACTTTCTGTTGTGAGTATTCTCCAAATCTCCATGTCTGTTGTATTGAGGGCGCCGCGAGAAAAATGTTTGCGGGTCATTAATCCAAAAAAGATTGGGAACCTCAGGTTTCATATATCATTTTGTAGTTTCGGTATGCGACAATCCCCAAAAGGATTCTCCTGTAGAACAATTTTGAATCAATTGAATATTAAAACAAAATTTGAGGCAAATACCAATAATAAATTTGGATACATTCAACTTACACGTCCGAAACGTTGACTCCAATCTCCTTCATAGTTTCGGCAACCATTTTCTCCGCTTGGAACATCTCCCTCCAGTAGAATTGTGTTCGAGCAGTTTCAGTGTTATAGGTGAGTTCTGAACAGAGCGGCATACAATTACAAGCTGAGTTTGAGTTGCTGCTTTCTCCCAACATAATCTCTACTTCCTTCTCCTTCATTTTATCTGCAATTTAAAGATAATTCCATGAAAATGCAGAATGAAATTATCAGAATTTGCTTCCAATAGCTCTTATTTATATCACAACACACACGGTAAACCATATTTCTCTTTGGCTATTGGAAAAAGGACCAATTATATGTTGAGTGAATTAGTAACAATCCTTAAGTCACACCTTTGAACCAATCACAGTCGAGCAGATTCATAACTCACCACCTTGAGGCCATTCATGAATAAATAAATTCACTACTCCACAGTCGGGTTCCCATTATTTCAAATCGTACGTAAGCTCCAAAAATTTCCTACTTCAAAATATGTTCTCAAACGTCGAACTTTCTCATGATATGATATTTTCTTCTGGAATATATAGCAAGAAAAACAGGGATGAAATGAGCTCATCTTCCAATTGTTGAGTTTCCATGCGACAAAATAGTGAGATACTTTGAACAACTGATACCACTTTGGCAGGCAGTCCAGAGTTTAAACATAGCCGGCCGTATTTCAGGGCGATTTCTTTAGTCTTTTTTCTGAATCTCACCATTGCCATGATCCACTGCGCTCGGAAATAATCGAGGATTCTGTGGCACACATGTGAATGGAAGGCATAAGGTCACCCATTTGTTTGACAAAGACGATCTTGAAATTAATGCCTTTGGAGAGAAAAATTTTCAACAGTCCATCTTGAAAGAGAACAATGAGGAAATTACGGAGAGGATGTGTAGCTCCAATATGAAAGCATTATGCACAATCTGGATGCCGGAGAGACGTATAGTTACTACGGGGTGGAACAATGCCACCCACAAGAGGTAACAGCAGTGAGAAACTCTCTCCAGGGCAAGTATCATCATAAACACCGGCAGATCTAGTCATCGGAACTGTCGGGGAAGTACAAAGTTGCTGCAGCAAATATGCTTGCCATTCCAATCTTACTCTACTCGTTTGGAGTGAAGTGGACTCGGAAGGAGCTGTATCAACACGACGTAAAGACCCGAAAAAAGATGCATCTCTACTGGAGTTTGCATCCCATATTGTCCGTTCCACAGTTGTACTTCCCCCGACAACAGGGAGGTCATGGACTTTTGAGTTTGGAGTGTCTACATGACAGAATGGTACTGGTTGAAGCCTGTGGAGTTAATAAGAGTTCGGATCCCCTTCAATCAAAGAAGAGGTTTCAAATGAGTATTCCTTTTGAGTATTTCCTTTTGAGTATTTCAATTTTAATGTAGAAGTAATTGTTTCGAGAGAGTTTGTCATTCAAAGTAACTTTTCTATATGCGCTGTGTATCTTTACAAAAAATTTCCATTGTAGTTATTATCTTTCTTTCTTTCTTCTTAAGATTTCAAAATTTTTCACCACCATACAGTAACCACTGCTTTTTTACCACTGCTTTTTTTTTGGTGGGTTTTTGCCTTTGGGAAGTGTCTGGGTGGCTCATCGGTGCCCGACCACTGCCCTAAACATCTCCTGTTGTCGTAGAGGATCCACTTCTCATCACACGTGACAATCCGATCCAAAGAAGCAAAGACAAACATACTTTGAAATGTAACAATTTCTGCCAATCGTTGAAATCGTGTGGCACCAATTTTCGAGTTCTTGACTTTCTCAGAATATTTTTGGAACCATCAAAAACCGCATGGGAGCTGACGTTAAGTTCTTTCGCCACCCTACGCACCGTTTATGATGAGCCATTCTCCACCAGGGTTCTCAAATCCTCTTTTTGGATTACTGTGGGTCGACCACATCGGGGCTCATCTTCGAGGCTAAAGTCACCAGAACAAAATTTCGCAAACCAATGTCGGACAGTGCGTTCATTAACACTATCACACACAAAGTTGCTGCAGCAAATATGCTTGCCATTCCAATCTTACTCTACTCGTTTGGAGTGAAGTGGACTCGGAAGGAGCTGTATCAACACGACGTAAAGACCCGAAAAAAGATGCATCTCTACAGGAGTTTGCATCCCATATGACCGTTCCACAGTTGTACTTCCCCCGACAACAGGGAGGTCATGGACTTTTGAGTTTGAAGTTTCTACATGACAGAACGGTACTGGTTGAAGCCTGTGGAGTTATTAAGAGTTTGGATCCCCTTCAATCAAAGAAGAGGTTTCAAATGGACTCTTTCCTTTTGAGTATTTCAATGTTAATGTAGAAGTAATTGTTTCGAGAGAGTTTGTCATTCAAAGTAACTTTCCTATATGCGCTGTGTATCTTTACAAAAAACATTCCATTGTAGTTATTATCTTTCTTTCTTTCTTCTTAAGATTCCAAAATTTTTGTTTAGTGATAGACAAGTAGAAAGCCAAAAAGATTTTTCTTTAAAATATTTATATGGACTTTTGTGAAACTGTGTAACCAGTTTAATAGATCTACAACATATATTGAGAAGAGAAAGGGTTCAAGTGTGGATCCCATTGAACCAAATTTTCCCAACAAACTTGAATATGAGAAATATAATTCACACAATCCAAAACTTTGAGAGCATCAATGAATACTTGTAATTTGCTATTATGATCAGATATAACATATTATATTGGAGAAGAAGAGTTTATTTGTTGTAAAAAAAGGTTTTATTGTTAATATTGAATAATTTAGATGTTCTTGAGAAAATTCTCAATCCCTGCTTTTTTTGTGCAAAATTGGCATCATTCATCAACATGATTTCCATCGAGAGCCACACTATCATTTAAGCGCTGCTCTAACATTTCAATATCACTTTTGTAGAATGATTCATCTTTTGCCTCAAAATAGATAGTTTCAGCAATAACCACCTGTAAGCAGTTTTTCGAAGTCTGCTAACAGCCAGTAGTCACTGGGAGCCAAATCTGGCAAATACGGTGAATGTGTGTGCAATTCGAAGTTCAATTCATGTAGTTTTGCCATTGTTGTGATTGACTTGTGACATGGTGCGTTATCTTGATGGAACAAAACTCCTTTCATTGCCATATGCAATTTCGGCCTTCAAACAAACGCTCTAATAATGCTCTATTATATTCACTGCTGATGGTTTTCCCTTCTCAAGATAGTCGATATAATTTTACACCACGCATTGTATAGCCTCCCGAGGTGTTGCCTTCTTAGGTTATCGTCCATCCTGTTCTTTACAGAAAGGTGGACAGGTCACTAGGAAACATCTCCTTTATATCGGCAGGTGTAGGCCAAGACTCGCCGAACACACACTCTCTTATTGAAGATAACTTTGGACATTCACATAGAACATGCCTGACAGTTTCATCTTCCTGTTCACACATCCTGTATAGAGGTGTGTCCAATAGCCCCATATCATGGAGGTGTTTCCTTAGTTGACAGTGGCCAGTCAGAAATCCTACAGTTAAGCGTAGATTTTCCCTGGTCATCGCCAGATACTTCTTTGGCACCAGCTTTGCAGGGAACCCAGGGTGATCCTGGCAAGATTACATCCTTTGATTTCATCCCATCTCTTCAGGGATTGAGTATGGTTGTGACGTTTGGATACTTCCGCAATTGTCGAATTCATCACGCCGTAAGTGTCACTGGGTCCCAAAATTCTTAGACCAGCCGCTTCCTTGGCTAAAGAGTCGGCAATGCGATTACTTTCACTTCTTTCGTGCTCTTTAACCACCTCGGGATAATTTCATCATCTACGGAGGCTTTGGCTGAATCTTGCTGGCACTCTAGTACTAGCACTGAGGTAACACGTTACTTGTTCATGGCTAATAGGGATTGTCTGCTATTAGTGCAAATTGTTATGTTTATGTCAGAAATTCCTTTCCTTGTTATTTCTTTTGTGGCGATTGAGATACCAGCCAGTTTTGTTTGAACCACGCTGATATTTATTCCGATTCTCCACTCAATCCTCAGGCTTATTGATCTGGAGTACACTCCACATCCTGAGCCTTCTTTGGTTTTTGAGCCGTCTGTATATATGCGTAGGTACTGCATTTGTAGCATCTGACTCTGTGTTCTGTTTTATTTGTATTTTGTAGGGTTTATTAAACACAAACCTGGGTTCAATTGCATCAATGGTTGCTTGCAGTAGAGGTTGCGCAGTAAGCACTTCTTGCCATAGACTCAGCCTCAATTGACCTATTCTTACTTCAATCGTAACATTACCATTAACGCAACCTCCTTAACGTACAGGTCCAGAGGGGTCAGACCAGTAATTAATTCTATTGCCGCGGTTGGTGTTGTTCTCATGGTACTTGTGATGTTTAAGCAAGCCAGTCGTTGTATTTGATATAATTTTTGGATGACCGTTGCTTGTAGAACTTTCGGTCCTCATGTAATGGCTGCGTACGTTAACATAGGTCTCATTATTGCAGTGTAGATCCAGGTGGCCACATGGGGTGGAAGACCCCATGCGCGTCTCACTGTCCTGCAACATTGCTCATAAGCCACATATGCTCTTTTTGCTCTACTCTGTAGGTGAGAGTTCCATGTTAGTTTCCTGTCGAGGATAGTACCATGGTATTTCACCTCTTCAGAGAAGTTAAGTTTGCTTTTGAAAATTTTGAGAGGTTTCAAGCCCGATAAACTTCTGTTCCTGGTGAGAAGGACCATGTCACACCATCTTTCTATTAATTTTAGCCCATCCTGCATTCTATCGCACAGTGTGTTCACAAATTTGCCGGTCTGCAAGATAAACATGTCATCTGCATATGCATTTGTGTACAATCCATCATTGCTGAAGTGATCAATCAGGGTATCCAGAACTATCTTCCAAGGAAGGAGTGATAAAACTCCTCCCTGTGGACATCCCCTTATGACCAGTCCTCTCACTGTGATGTCTTTTACATTGATACTTATTGCTCTACTAGAGAGCATCTTGAGTATCCATTCTCCTACTACCAGAGGTAAATTTCTGGAGTGTAGTTGCTGGGTAATTGTTGGAAAGATTGTTTCATCGAAGGCTCCCTCGATATCTATGAATATACCTAGGGTGGATTCCTTGTTGTCCAATGAAGTTTCGATTTTGACTCCATCTATGTACTAGGCCCGAGATTTTTCAGCCCATGTAGTATTATGGATTTGACTTGTTGTCATCACCAATGTTCGGGAGCAAAATGTCCTCTTCAATTCGAAGGAAATTTCAAATATTGACGAGGTTCATCCATGAGGAATCACTATTTGTTACTAATCGATTTGAGATTATTACACCAGCATTTTCTTTCATAAAAATGGTTGTGTTTTTGCTTTTTCCATACACATTGGAAAAACTGAATACTCACACAAAGCATCGTCCATGCATTCCACTTTTCCATTTCCACATATGGCAGTGGAATGGTTTCCTGCAATAGAAATGAACAGTTATGTATTATGTGTATCTGAAACTGGTTAATCCACAAACCAGAATTACAAAAACAAATTATATGCCAATCAAATGAGATTATCAGGATATAGTGAGTACTATTAGGAGCTTAAAGAGGTCGAACTTCTAATAACATTGTCGAAGGTGCATAAGATAAAAATAAATAAATGAATATCAGATCATTTCTTAAGTTTTGTCCGGTCTTACGAGTTCATTTCAAACTGTAATATCTCAGTGAATAATCATTCAATTCATTCAAAATGGACGCCTTTTGAATCAGTACACTAATGCCGTCATCATAAAAATTGGGTGCTCAGGATTTGATGAAGTCGATGTAAGTCGTTTTTGGGATGGTCTTGATTGGCGAAGGTTCAACCGATAATAAAGTTATCAGAGTGCTTGAAAAAATGGTAGTCGGTTGGCCACAGGTCTGGGGTGTATGGTGGGTGAGGCAGAACATCAACGCTCAATTCGTTCAATTTTCGGACGGTGATTAGTGTGAGCATTGTCATGATGCATGATCGAATCTCTTCCGTTGACCAGTACCGGCTACTGCTGACGCAATTTTCGGTACATTTCGTCGACTTCCCCACAATAGAACTCTGCTGTGATGCCAAAGCTTGTGTGATCCACTGCAACTGGGCTTTGGCCCAGTTGCAGTGAATCACAACTGGGCTTTGACCCAGTTGCAGTGAATCACAAGCCGCTGACCACCATACAGTAACCATTGCTTTTTTGGTGGGTTTTTGCCTTTGGGAAGTGTCTGGGTGGCTCATCGGTGCCCAACCACTGCTCTAAACATTTCCTGTTGTCGTAGAGGATCCACTTCTCATCACACGTGACGATCCGATCCAAAGAAGCAAAGACAAACATACTTTGAAATGTGACAATTTCTGCCAATCGTTGAAATCGCGTGGCACCAATTGTCGAGTTCTTGACTTTCTCAGAATATTTTTGGAACCATCAAAAACCGCATGGGAGCTGACGTTAAGTTCTTTCGCCACCCCACGTATCGTTTATGATGAGCCAGTCTCCACCAGGGTTCTCAAATCCTTTTTTTTGGATTACTGTGGGTCGACCACATCGGGGCTCATCTACGAGGCTAAAGTCACCAGAACAAAATTTCGCAAACCAATGTCGGACAGTGCGTTCATTAACACTATCATTGGTAAAATTCTGTTTGAAGATCTGTTTAAAATCTGTTTTTCCTTTAATCAGCTGTCGCCCTCATTCGAACGACAACTCTCAGAAGTTGAGAAACTTGTGCGAGCTAAGGACTAACAAGGTCTTACCTTTTAACGTGCGATTCCTAACACGGTTGCAGACTCATCCCAGCTTCAACCAAATAAATTCTCTCGAGAAAAATATCTGGTCGAGGCTTCCGATCGTGAGTCGGGCGCACTAACACCACGGCCAATTCCACAGTTAGTAATAATGAGTGATTTTTTTCCTGGTATCATTTTGGCAACACTATTTTTGATAGATCACGCGTGAATCGTGTCTTGTGTCATTGTTAAACTTGTTCAGTTTGGTCTATAATTTAACCATGAATCGACTTACGAATGAACAACGCTTGCAAATTATTGAATTCCATTATCAAAACTCATGCTCGGCGAAGAAAGTGCATTGTGCACTTCTTCCAATTTATGGGCAGTTTCGTCGGCCTACTGAGGGAGCCATTTGGAAGCTTGTGACAAAATTTCAAACCCAGTTTACATTATTGGACATTAAATCAGCAACACGCATACGTAGAGTGAGGACCGAAGGAAATATTGCGGCTGTATCCGCCAGTGTTCATGATGACCGTGAAATGTCGATTCGCCGCCGTTCACAGCAATTGGGCCTCTGTTATTCCACTATGTGGAAGATTTTGCGAAAGGATTTGGGTGTGAAACCTTATAAGATACAGCTGGTGCAAGAATTGACCAAACACGACCTACCGCAACGTCTAACATTTGGTGAATG